AAAACTCAATAATATGATATGCATATGATATGAAAACGCACAAGCGGTAAATTTGAACAAATACTATTTAATAAGTTTATCCCAACAATTAGGCTATTTGCTATTACGAGCATGATAGTCGAATTCCACTTTTTGGATTCCCACATGGACGTTTTCTTGGAGGGTATGAGTTTCGACAGTGTCAATGAGCAGCAGCACCACCACTGGGACCAAATGAACATACAACAGCAGCAGCAGTTCATGCAGGGATCACCTCGTCACAACACTCCCACATGCGAGCATCCAACTTCTCGAACCAGTGAGAAACCAGATACGAAGTGAACGCACTCAAGATCATCTACGACAAATTCCTACTGCCAAATGCACAAGATATTATCGAGACCGTCAGATTGCTGGGTCGATTGAGCATGCTTAGATCAAATCTGAAGAAATTTTTTTTTCCCTATTCAGGTCAAAATCATTGGGCCATATTACGAGCAAAAACCTCAATAATATGATATGTATATGATATGAAAACGCACAAGCGGTAAATTTGAACAAATACTATTTATTAAGTTTATGACAAACAATTAGGCTAGTTGGTATTACGAGCATGATAGTCAAATTCCTGTTTTGGATTCCCACATGGGGCGTTTTCTTGGAGGGTATGAGATTCGACAGTGTCAAGGAGCAGCAGCAGCACCACTGGGACCAAATGAACATACAACAGCAGCAGCAGTTCATGCAGGGATCCCCTCGTCACAACACTCCCACATGCGAGCATCCAAATTCTCGAACCAGTGGGAAACCAGATACAAAGTGAACGCACTCAAGATCATCTACGACAGATTCCTACTGCCAAATGCACAAGAGCTTAGCGAGACCGTCAGACTGCGGGGTCGATTGAGCATGGTTAGATCAAATCTGAAGAAGAAAAAATTTTGCGATTAAGGTCGAAAGCATTGGGCCATATTACGAGCAAAAAAACTCAATAATATGATATGCATATGATATGAAAACGCACAAGCGGTAAATTTGAACAAATACTATTTAATAAGTTTATCCCAACAATTAGGCTATTTGCTATTACGAGCATGATAGTCGAATTCCA